TGAGGATAAGTACTGGACGACTAACCACAAAGCCAGCAGTTCGAGCCCACAAGCTGCTTCACAGTAGAAAGATGAGCAATTCTGCTTCCACAAAGATTTATAAGCCTCCAAAATCCTATACAGGGTCACTGTAAGTCAGAACCTACTCGAAGTCACTTAACAACAATACATACTTTTAAGTTGTTGTTTGTGTTGTTACATGCTATTGAGTCAGACCCCAAACACCATGGAATCAGACCATTGGGATCTATAAGGTTTTCAATGGCTGATTTTCAGAAGTAGATTATTGCTGGGCCTTTCTCCCTAAACTATCTTAGTCTGGAAATGCTGATACAAATAGAAATCAGATCATTTTGTTGTCTTGTCTTCTTTAAACAACTCGTCACAGTTTTATATGCTGTGGGTTAGTAACTGAACAAACACACTAAGAGTGAAAATGAGTGGACATGTTCGGGCATAGACTGGAAAACTCGGCAGCAAATGTGCAAATCTGTCAAGTCCAAGTTCAGAGAGGCCTTTAGATAATTTAATCCATGAAGGCCCTCACTTTGGAGTAGAAAAGAGACACTAAATAACTCAGATCCGAGGCAATATAGATTCAACTACTCAAGAATTCACCTAATTCCAGTGCACAGTTTGCCCAGTCTACCAGGAAGGAGCAAAAGATCCATGGTTCTGTTTATCTAGTGTAGTCCAAGTCAGAGAATAGCTAACATTTTTTATAATTACATATTATGTTCCAAAGTTCTTGGCCATGGTGTTGGCATTGGATTGTTTTGTAAACATTGTTTTTCACCTGGGGACCATTCTAGCACTATTTACACATGTTGTGCCTTAGCACAGTGAAGCCCGGCTGGTACAGATGAAACAAAAAGACAAATAGGCCAAAGTCTGATTTATTAAAAGGGTTATATCCAGTGATAAAGCCCGGAACCTTTCCCTTCCTAGCCTTTCCTTTCCTTGTCTCTCATGACGACCTGAAAGTCTGAAGCAGGAGAACTGTTCTTCGCTGTCACCGGCATGGTACACAATTTCCACCACACAACATGCCAGTCACTGGTTGAAAGGAGAGCTGAATGAGCATGCTCCTGTGATTTTTCACTAATAGAATCAAGGCAGCTCTCTGCAGGATGTGCAGAGGAGAAACTTTGCTGAATTGTGAGATGTTTCTTCCCCCAAACATGAAAACCTGAGGCACAAGTATGAAATCCAGATGAATGTTTGCTTTTCAAATGAAAGAGAAAGAGCAGGGTTAAGGTTGCTAGGCCATCAAACCTAATGTGGACTTAGTAGAATGCCATAGTCTTGGTTAGGCTAACAAGATTTAAAAGTAGAGGCTATATTTGCTCTCTTTCTTATGGAAGGGGTATTAGATTCCTTGGGTTGCTATAGCAAATTACCACTAACTGGGTGGCTTAAGAAGTCCCAGAGTGGTACAACTGAAAGGTTGAAGGTTCAAGTCCACTCAGAGGCATCTCAGAGAACAGCCCTTATGATCTATATTTGAAAAACCTGGCCATTGAAAAGCTTCATGGTGCACCATTCTACTGTGACACACATTGATTGGGTCATTGCAAGCAAGAATCAACTTGGTGACATCTGATTTTATAGTTGTTGCTAAGTGTTGTCGAGTTAGCTCTGACTTATAGCAACCCTGTATAGGGTTTCCAAGACCATAAATCTTGACAGGAGCAAATCTCTTATCTTTCTCCCCTAGGAGAGGCTGGTGAATTCGAACTGCTGACCCTATAGTTAAAACAACCCAACGTATAACCTACTACCTACCAGGGCTCCCTAAAATCAAGGAATTGTATTTTATCACAGTTGTGGAGGCCAAAAGTCTTAAATCAAGGTGTTGGCAGAGTGGATTCTGTCTGGAGAGTTCTGGAGAGGAATCTGGTCTGTGCCTTTCTCCTAGTTGTTGGCCGGTGGTTGTATCCCTCCAGTCTCTACCTCGGCCTTCTCATGGGTTTAGCTCCTCTGTCTCTGTGTCTATTTCCCCTTTTCCTCTGTAGTATGAACTTGACATTGGATTTAGGGTCCACCTTAATCTGAGAGTCCTAGTGTAGCATAGGATAAGCACTGAAATTCAAAGTAGGCAGTTCAAACCCATTAGCCGCTCCTCAGAAACCCTACACAGGGTTGCTATGATTCTGAATCATCTTCATAGCATTTAACAAGATCTAATCTCTAGACCATTAGCTTAACTATATCTGTACAGATTCTTTTCCAAATTAGTTCACATGTGTAGGTTCTAGGTGATGTGTCTTGTGGGCAGAGAGGAGGTAACTACTGAACCTATTACTGAGGCCTAACAGGAATACTATTTCTCATGAACTTTCTGCTCTGAGGTTTCTTGCTCGACCTAGTTCTCCCTTACTATTTCCTGGGACTGTGGGTTTGGACACACTGTTATTTTAGTGTAAACTTAATAAAATGCCAGGTTTCAGGATAAAAGTAAGTGTCTATTGTCAGTCTGTTTATCTGGAGTGCACCAGAAATTGATCCATTTAATTTATTTACTTTTAAGATAAGGCAAAATTTGGAGAAGAGAAAATTAAAGAGAAAGAAAAGGGATCGCGAGCTTGTTCTTAAAGAGAATGTAAGTCAAAAAAGACAACTTCAGTGTGAAAATAAATAGGGGAGAATAATGGCTTCCTTTAGGAAGTGAACTCTTTGGTAACTTCTTGTTTGTTGTCAAACCGTATTGTAAGAACAGTAAATATTCAGTATGAATGGCTGTGGTTCTTGGGAGAAGAAAAAAAAAGTAAATGCTAGCTTTAAACTAAGGAAGTTTTGAGGATAATTGAATTATTCCTGGGCATGGAGTTATAATAATATCCCAGGGGGACTATTGATGCATTTATGGGAATTGTTTTAAGAAAAGAATTACCCTCTTTAGAGAGGAACAGAGCTAATGAGTATTTCTTATGAATATGCTCCTGTTCTCCTTCTTCTCTTAAACTGTTACTTGAAATTCCAAGAGAACAGCTTTGCAGGACTGTAATGGTTTATCTAGCAGTGTTCTGAGTGATGTGAGGGGTGAGAAAGTTCAGTAAAACCAACACTTCAGTACATCCTTGTGGTCATTCAGGCTGCCTTCCCAGCTGGAGTTTTTCTTTTTTACTAAACCATAGCCTGGCAACCTAGCAGGAAGCAAGACTTGACTGTGACAATGCAAGGTCTCAGCACCAGGCCCTAGTTCCTGGGTGGCACAGTCAAGTGCTTGACTACTAAATAAAAGATTCGAATCAAGACCCACCCTAGGAGCCGAGCGCGGTTGCTGCCATGTCTTCCGGGCCCAGCGTGAACGCCTTGCAGTGCCCGGTGGAGCAGCTGATGTTGGAGGCCGGTGTGGAGAGGATCAAGGTTTCTCAGGCAGCTGCAGAGCTTCAACAGTACTGCATGCAGAAGGCTTGCAAGGATGCCCTGCTGGTTGGTGGTCCAGCTGGAAGCAGCCCCTTTTGGGAGCCCAGATCCTGCGCTGTACTCTGAACACTGTGGGGAAGAAGCTCACTGAGGAATGCCTTCAAGTATGAAGTGATGAATGACTGTCTCCAAGTTTCAAGAAAACATTTCTCTCTAGTCAAACAACTTTTAGGTATTTGAGACCTTTCCTGTGACCTGGTCTTATAGCCAAAATTATATAGAGATTGATGTGCTTTTGCTCAAATAAGGAAATTAGGTAAAGGAGTAAACCTTCAAATAATAATGACCTATTTCTTTTGGTGACGTGCTTTATACTTAAGACAAGCAAACATTTACCAACAAACATACCAAAATACACCTTTCTTATAAATGAATTATTGTTGTTTCTATACTTGGAATAAGGAGCTCTGGTAGTGTAGTGGTTACGAATCGGGCTGCGAACAGAAAGGTCAACAGTTCGAAACTACTAGCTGTTCTGCAGGAGAAAGATGAGGCTTTCTGCTCCCATGAAGATTTACAGCCTCAGAAACCCTGTACAGGGTCGCTATGAGTTGGAACTGACTCCACGGCACATAACAATAACAACATACTTGGAATATCATGCATGTTTTGTTTACTGGGTATTTACATTTTAAGAAGAAAAACCTTTTTGCTTATTTTAAAAAATTGATATTTATAATCTGTTGCTAAGATTTTTGTACCTTAACAAAAAAAATTTTTTCCCCTCATTTCTAAATGAAGATAAGCAAGTATAGGCAGTCTCCAGATTATGACCGAGTTCTATTCCTAAATCGGATTTGTATTTAAATTGTAAGTTAGGTGTGGTTCATATCTAATGTCAGTTAGTCATATGTATGTCTTATTACATAGTATACCATTCTATGTATAAAAAGTATTAAAGAAACACTTGCAGATACACTAAAACATATTTAACATGTTTTATAAGAATATTTTGATGTACATCACAAAATAGTGTCCATTTGTTATTATGATCCATTGTATGTAACTCAGAATTTTAATATATTAGGCTTTATGGGGTTTGGCTTGTAATAATGGGTTGTATGTAAGTCAGATGCTCATAATCTGGAACTAACTATATAAAAATTTGGGGAAGACTGGGCTTTAATAATGGATACAGAATTTTTCTAAATGAGAATTTAGTTTTATTTTTAACACTAATCATGGGAGCTGTTTCTTATCACACTTGTTTGGAAAGGTTTATGTTGTATTGTATGTTAGTTTGCCCCATCTTGTGTACGAAGCCAATTTGGCTGTTATCTTAAGTTCCTGTACTAATTTTTTATTATACTTAAAAAAATGCTACATTATTTATGTCTTGAAAAATGTTTAAAATATGACCTATAGAACACTGCAATGGTTAAAGTTTGTGAAAATATTACAACCTAAAAACAATTTTTAAAAATATCACAAGTGTTTTATTTTACTGATAAATCTTCACTTTATCTTGGGATACTTTTATAAGGTTACTTTGTATTTGTGATCATTTTTGAGGAGCTTGGAAATAAAATTTTTGCTTAATTAAAAAAAGAAAGATTAGAGTCAAGTACAACCAGAAGAACCTCAGAAGAAAGGCCTGATGACTTGTTTTGAGAAAGGAGCATTGTACTATGTACACATGGGATTACCACGACTCAGGATCAACCCTCTCTCAACTGCCTTTATGGGCTTTGTCTTTCATTTTTTTCTATCTATATTTCTTTCATTTCTTTCCTGGTATAGCGTTATAAGATAAGCGCTGGACTGTGAACTGCAAGGTTCACAGTTCAAATCCACCAGGCGTCATCGGAAACCTAATACAGGGTTGCTATGAGTTAGAACATACTTGATGGTACTTCACAGCAATAACAAACAAAAGCCAGGTGAGCTGCTTGTTTTAATCATGTGCTTTCAGTTGAAATCCTACTGAGTCTAGTAAATAATGCCCACCAGTGAATCACAAAGGGGAATATAAAAGTGGAACAGGACTGGGGTAGCAGAGGAGGAGGAGAACAGGGGGTCCCTTGGTGATTGACACACTCTGCCTTTAAGGGGAAGTTCATCCAGAGACACCTTAGAAGAAAGTCTTGGTGACCTGCTGTAGAAAAACCAGGCATTGCAAAGTCTAGGGAGCACAATTCTGCTCTGACACATGAGGGGTTGCCATGAATGATTTGTTAGTTTGTTTTTAGGATGGGGGAGTGAAAGGAAAGGAAGGAAAGTAAAAGTGTCATATAGGAGGAAAATCAAGAGAGCAGGGACGATCAGCACTAACTGCAATGGAAGGGTGGTTGCAGCTATACTCAGAAGAGATTGATAAGAACAATGTATGAGAAAACACAGAATATGAATGTACTTGTTTTTAAGTGTCATTGAGGCTGTTCAGACTCACAGCAACCCTGTATAGCATTTCCGAGGAGCGGCTGGTGAGCTTGAACCACTGCCTTTGTGGTTCAAACCGACCTTACAGTCCAGCACATTAACCCACAGAGCCACACCAGGATTACTGCATATTAACTAATTACATCTACAAAGATGCTGTTTCCAAACAAGGTCTCATTTACAGCTACTAAGGTTTAGGGCTTCAGTGTATCTTTTTCTGGGGGACACAAATGAACTCATAGCAAGGAAAAAGAGTCAAGCTTTTTAAGCTAAAACTGTTCATGAAAATTCGAGCTAAAGGAGAAGAGAGTTTGAGATTAGACAGACAATCTTTCCTTTGTGTTTTCTCTTTTATGCATTCATTAAATATTTGTTGTTGTTGTTGTTAAGTGCCATCGATTCGATTCTGTCCCATAGTGACCCTGTATAGGGTTTCTGAGGAGCAACTGGTGAGCTTGAACTGCCAACCTTGCAGTTCAAACAGATTTGCAGTGTGGCTCATTAACCCACAGTGCCACACTGGGCCCCTTTTCTGTACCAGACACTGTGCTGAGTGTTTGAGATACAAGTCAAGTCTGGTAGCACAACGTTTAATTGCTTTGCTAATAACCAAGTTGGTGGTTCGAACCTACC